GATCTCGTTCTCAGGAAACAACTTAACCATCAAACCTTGACCAAGAAGCACTGGGGGCATCAAACCTCGCCCTCATAGGAAAAGGGGAAAATACCACCCTAAAAGCACCAAAGAGGCGTCGCCCAAACATATCAGCGCGCAAGGCCTCTTGGCGTCGTCCAATGCGTCCTACCAATCTCTTGGCGTCACCCAAGGTGCTTGCCCAGCCTCCTAATGTCGGACAAGGCGTCTGCCCAGTCTCTTGTCATCGTTTAAAGCACTGACACCTACCTCTACTAAAGCATCCTTGCTCGTACCCAATCAAGCACCAAGAATTTCAAAGGGCCTCTTGCCTCTTATCGGGACCTCACGAAGACTAAGGAGGAGTACCCAAGTGACCAAGGCACGAAGGGGGGTCACCCAAGTCCCTGGCGCCACCCAAGGAAGCACTGCCCAGGGCATGGGCGTCGCCCATGGGGGCCCCAATGCCTCTCCTCCGCTCTACTCTTTGCCAAAGCCATGAACTCCTCTGGCTGCATCACGTCTAGTGCCGCTCGAGGCATGGGCGCCGCCCCTATCACCTCCTCTTTGCTCCTCTATTCCATGGTCCAAGACTTGGGCGCCATCAACAAATGAATAAGGGGTGTCACGTGCAAAAATAGAGGCATGGGTGTCGCCGTCTGAATAAGCACCACCATGGGCGTCGCCCACCGTGTCACCCTTATGGGCGCCGCCTATAGGATCAAGGCCACGAGCTTTTCTTTGCTCTACCCCATGAATTTTTGAGCTCCTAGTCTCCATTGCCTCAGTTTGATTTGGAAGAAAAAGATTAGAGGAAAAGACTAAGGGATAAATGGTGATGAACAATGAAAAATAGTGATGAACAGTGAAAAGTGGTGATGAATAATGAAAAAATGGTGTTGAATAGTGAGAAAGGGTGTTGGATCGTGAAAAGAGGTGATGAACAATGAAAAATGATGTTGAATAGTGAGCAAGGGTGTTAAATAGTGAAAAGTGGTGATGAATAGTAAAAAATGGTGTTGAATAGTGAGAAAGGGTGTTAAATAGTGAAAAATAGTGTTGAATAGTGAGAAATGGTGTTGACCAGTGACCTCCATTTATAGACAAAGAAGCAGTGCAAAAAAAAAAAATTGATATCAAAAAATTCAGCGAGTCCCTAAGGATGAAAAGATACCGTGGGAAGTAAGAAAAATTTTGACTCACCCAGATGAAGACGAAACACATGCCCACAACCCTTTCCTCTCACAAAAAAATCAGAGACTGGGGCATGGGGAGCAAATGATGAGCCCAAAATTAGCTGGGCCCAAAGAAGAGCCCAATCTGAGCTAAGTCGACCCATAGGAGGAGGACCAAATCCCCAAGAAGGGACTAGCACCCAAATGAATCAAGAGGCCAGCACCTAGGACAAGGGGGCGCCGCCCAAGGGTCCTCAATGGGGCGTCGCCCATGGGCTGGCTCCCCAGCTCTTCTTCGTCCTCCGCTTTCTCCTTCACAGTGCATCATTGGGATTACTTCGACTCAAGTCTAGTCCACTCCAACTCAAAGCCCAAGCTCAGGGTGAAGCTCAATCCAACTCAAGATCATCCTTCGACGAAATAGGAGCACGAAGGAGAGATTATCGAGACACGAAGATCCAATCCTACCAAAACTGTACTTACAAAAATAGTAGAAGACCTCTCTTTCACGTCACCGCTTTACTAAACCTATATAATGTAAGTCCTCTTCACATAGAGGGCATGCCTTTGAGATTCCTACACACACTACACCTCCCTACACACATGACTTCTCTCTCCTCTCCATTGTAATACTCCCGAAGCATACACTCCCTGAGACTCTATTCATTAATCAAACATCTTAGGCTACCGCTGCTGTTCCCGAGAGTGGAGTAGGTCACCCGAACTGAACTACTATAAATCTGTGTGTTTTGCTATTTTTTACTATTTTCCATTGATTGCCTATTTAATTGCACCCTTACACATACTTGACTGTTGATTTTGAGCAATACCGATTTGTGCATCATTAATACTCACATATATTCTATACGTAACAAATATATTACTTATATGTTATATCATGATCACGAAGTATGACCTATATTATAGTCATTTAACTTGTTTTCACATAAAGAATTTGTATTTGAAGTCCATTTATTTATTTAAAAGTTTTAAAAATAACCTTTAGTTATATAGAATTATAATTGACGACCTAAATTAACGTGTTAGTGATTATTTTTGTACGGATCGTCACAACTCTCCATTACATGGTAGCTAGATTTTGAAATAAAAACTCGCAAACTCGAATCTATCAGGGCGGAGGTGAGATTGTAGCGCAGTTGTTTCCTACTCCGATACCACATTTAACTTCCATCTTCTCTAAAAAACCGGTAGAATTTATAATTCCAAACATGAATAAAGTTTGAAACCTGCTACAATAATTTTGATTCAAATTTGGAGAAGAATATGTCTAGTTGTCAGTATATATCATAAGATAATGATCGTGCCTCCATTATTGCCATTCTCTGCCCTGTCTTTTTTACTGGCAGTACCTCATTATTAGACCACACACACACACACACACACTTTCTACACTAAGCAACATTCAAATTCTCTTTGCAAGTTTACAAAAGAAATCATAAAAGATGCTATTTCACTTTACCTATAAAGATCCTCAAAAAGAAATTCATCAGAAACATGAAGAAGATTCTGAGCATTTTTTTCCCTTGGCAGATTAATTGGTACATAGAGGAAAGTTTGTCTCACTCTAACCTGATTGTGTGGAGGTTATATAAAAGATTGAGTGAACAAGATAACCCGAACGAGAATAAAGAAATAACTTATTTTATAGGAGTATATGCTTGTTGAATACTTGATGCCTGGTCACAGAAGAGCAATCTTACCGAAATTTGTGTCATTAGACAACTGAGCTGAATAAAAAGGCTAAAGACCAGTAAATATCTGGCAATGAAGCTTAGAAATGGAACAAGCACTACTATATATCATGACACAAGAGAATGGAAAGCACAATAACAACCCGTAAACTTTATTAATAGGGGCATTCCATTAATAACAATAGCGAAGTGATTCACGAAAGTCCAAACTTGATAGGATAAGACCATTCTAACATGAATAATGTTTGGTAATATTTTATTTTTTAATTTTTTGTTCGATTTTCAATTTGCTTTATTTCGAAAAAAAATCAGATTGTATGAAAAAATTAATTTGAAAGGTCTGATTGACCCATGTCACTAGAAGCATATACTTTGAATATTGCAATCACCTGTAAACCGTATCAAGCTAATCGGTATAATAATAGTTGAGCCTCCAAATATTAACCATTAGGTCTATTTATTTATCCTAGCAATGACAGGACTAGGCAGAAGCCAAGGTGTCAATTTTACATGTTCATATTAACAGGCTATAAATTAAAAACAACTCGATCAACACAAAAGCCAAATTAATTGAATTTATATTGAGCACGTGTTGAGGTAGCTTCAATAGGTAGCTTTTAAGAGTTTAAGAGGTAATAAGTCAAGTTCGTTTGAAACTTAGACTTTTTTACCAGCTTACGTAGGACGTGCGTAGCTTTATCTCTCTGTTTGTGCGAATTACTTATACAGTGGCTCTTTCGACTTTGTTCCAATAATGGCACGCTTCTTTGTAGTTATTTAGACTAAGTTGTTACTGTGCTTGTTGAGATGAAATTCTGTTTCTCTTAGTGCGACTTTCCATGTGGCAATCATTAAGAACTGTAAGCACAATCAGAGACTACAAACATAGTGATTGTAGGGTTGCTAGTAGCCACAATTTTGGTTTTAGTTTATGCACCTTGCATAAGCATAGTTGTATGGTTTCTGATCAAAAATGGTAAAGTAAAGGGTGCAATGCAATTAGAGATCACATCGAACCGAGAATAAATTACCTAAACTATCTTTGAGATAAAACACAATTACATTTCACCCCAGTCTGATTTGAGCAATTACAATAAATCCCTTTGAGGTATTAGGCCGACATGTCTAAACTTTGCTTGGAAACTTCAATCTAATCTTCAAAAGAAAAAAATAATAAATAAATCCTGCAGTATAACTAAGCTTAATACAAGCTTAAGAAACATCAAGTCCTTAAATGCCTTTTGGGATTCTCAAAGCAGAAAATTGACATATTTAAATTAAAAATCATGCATTAGTCTATATGGAGATCTACAGGCCAAATGAAATATAGCATCCACCAAATTTGCCTTAAGTAGCTTAGCTTATTGTGTGACATTCCTGATTTACCAATGGAATGGTGAACAACCAACTCAAAATGTAATTAATTAGTTAATAGCATGAGTAGTGGATTTGGTGGCTATCCACTCAACATGTATTTTATTAAATTAGAAAAATAACTTTTTATTTGGACCACCCGTAGAAAGCTTGAAGCACTTCTCATCTCATTTACGACAACTTATACCCTCGTAAGGATTATTGAATCCATATCATTTTCAATATATTTTTCATCAATTTTCTATATAATAGATTATCATCGTGCACTAGTGAAGGACTCACTTATATATGATGGACCCAACTTAAATTTATGGGAGATGATATATTATTCTAAAAATCAAGGAAAAATCTACTCAAGAGAATCCCAATCGATACTTACTTTAATTTGCTTTCAAACATCGCTTTCATAGTTGCACATTCCCACTAGCCCATCCACCACAGTTTTCTTTTATTTGAATAACTAGTGCTTTGTTTTATTGAAACATGCTTCATTGACCCCACATATGAAGGAAAAAAAAGACCATGGTTTTCCCCTCAAGCAAAGCTTCCTGTGCAATGTTTATTTGCAGAACATAATTTGGATACTTTGTGCATACTCACCTCTCTTACTTGCACTCGTGCAAAAGCTTATGTGAAAAAAGAAAAGACTATTCAGTGCACAAGTCTCCCACCACTAAATGTTGTATAAAGAGCTAGATAATAGAGAGATTTTTCATTGACTCAAGCCTGTGGTGCCTAGATCGCGGCAGAGCAACTTCACTACTACACTAAGGTCGTCCTAAAGTCTCTTTGAAGGCATAAATTTGTGTTATATAACATGGGCTTGATACAAGATTAAAACCTAAGCACGTGTATAATACATTACATCCATGAAATATAGCACACTCCTCAAGCGAGATTCTGCAAAGTTCTCTCTTCCTTAGACAATTAATACATAGAACAGCAAGACACACAACTATGTTATGCATCAGATGATTACAGTGACTTCCAGTTCCTGATCCTGGAGACCTATAACAAGAAGTTATGTAGATCTACAAAGCCCCTGCTATACAAGTTAGAGCTTCCTCAAGATATTTTCACATCTAAGAACAATTACTAGAAAATTGAAAAACTGATTAGCCAGTTAAAAACGAGCTTTCATGTCCGTACAAGGACAGACATTGCTCGCTTGTGGGAAGAAACATGTGAACCGCTGCTTCATCCATCATCCAGAGAGACTCTGGACCATAGTCCCATATTGGAGATGCTATAGTTTGACAAGAGAAGTTGCATTCTTCTTCACTATAGCCACCGGAAACTGGTTTTACTGCATGATCATGTTCTGGAAAAGCAAGATCTTTCCATATTTCATCCATGGAGAAGAACCCGTTTTCATTCTTTTCCTCTTCTGTGTTAGTGTTCTTTCCTCTTGGAGCTATCACATCAAGGCCTCCTATGTCATAAAAGGTCCGCTCCTTACTCTCCATGACTGGTACAGAATCCTCTGGAGGACTGTTAGATGATGCGGAAGAGCAGTTAGAATCTGATGAAGATGAAGAAATAGCCCTTTTCTTCTCTTGCGCCTTTTTCCTCATATGGGTTCTCCAATAATTCTTTATCTCGTTATCTGTTCGTCCCGGTAATTTCTGAGCAATTCTTGACCATCTGCATGGGGTTATCACTAGGTATTACCGGCATGCACCTATATCTAGCTTAAGGTTTAAACTTCAAAATATGTACAAGGAACAGTAATTCGAACAATCATTTCGTTGATGCTAGAAATATAAAAATTTAGCAGTTCATCTTTCTCAAAGCGAAAAAAAAATTGACAGTTCCTTCAATTGGATGGGTTTGCTGGAATTTTTAGCAACCCCAAGGAATGAAATTTACTTATGCTACTTATATTGATTGAATAGATGTAGGATTTTTTTTCTACTACTTCGTTAACTTTTGTATGTAGCATAGAGAGAATAAAGTAATTTCTAGTATGCTTCTTTGCAGATTCTCAAACCTGTTTCCCCATTTGGAGTGAAGCTCGAGCACAAGACGCTCTTCCTGGAGTGTCATCTTGCCTCTTTTCAGACCAGGATGCAGGTAATTAACCCAACGTAACCTGCAACTCTTGCCTGTTCTTTTCAGACCTACAACAAAATTAGGTGGTTAAACGGTACTCCTTTGAGAGAAACCGTACCAACCCCAGAAAAGCCTACCTAGTATACGTCTCCCGCCACCGTCAAACCTGAAACTTTTGCTATGAAATCCCAACGGCGATCTCCAAACAAGTTTACGTAAAGAACCAGCTGAACATCTTCATGTTCAGTCCATGGACCCTTTCTCATCTCCTCTTGCACCATTTTCACTCTCTTTTTTCCCTCCCACCTTCTTTTTAGCTCTTTTGCCTTCCCTTGCGAGGTGACTACACCTACTTTAATTTGTGGTACATGTAGGCTAGTCTATACCAATGATATTTATACTAGTTATGTCTTAGTGATATGGTTTGTATGGCCGATGCATGTTATTATAATGTTTATCCTACTCTATGTGATAATGTTGGTATATATTTTAGTTTTCGACTTGAATCCTCACCGTACATTTGGTTTAGAGATAAGAACCTCATGCATATGATGATGTAAGCTTTTAGATAATCAGGCAAGCAGGATAAGGGATTGATAGGTTGATGGAGCTTTCTTATCTTCCTCCTCCAAGTAATAGTTTATGCCACTATACTTTACTGAGGATAGGGTTATTAATTATTTGCCTCCATCTTCCTTGGAGTACTTAAAATTTCCATGATTTTACAAACTAGAGTGGCTGAAGTTAAAAAAAAAAGAAAGTATTTTTCCTTTTTAATTTTATGAGAAATACTAGATGGACTTAAAAACTAGACTTAAAAATCAGTAATGCTACACTGACCAAATTTTGGGACTAAATTTGGAGCCCAAATAACATGACAGCTGATTATTTGAAATTTTATTGGGGCCCAAATGACATGGCACCAAGTAAAGAAGCTCAAGTCAGCTGTCATATCATTTGTACTCCAAATTTGGTCAGTGTAGTATTATTCCTTAAAAATTAGACTTGATAATCTCAACTATTGAATAAATAGTGGATCCTAATAAATGCTGGGACTCACAGTGAAATCAATGGTTGTAATTATCAAATCTAGTTTTTAAGTTTATTTTTTAAGTCCATATATCATTGCTCTAATTTCATATATCACATAGCTTATACCCTATATATAGCTTAAAGTGAAACCATCTAATTTTCATTTCTGTAATTCTTTGTCATGACCAGTTTGAGATGATGAAACTTGCCTATAAATGAAATTAAAACTTGTTTTCTCCCTTTCTTCATTGGCATCATTCTTAGCATAATGAAATAAAATGGGTTAATAGTACTTTTGGTCTTTAAAGTTTTAGGAAATTCACACGAAATTCTCAAACCTGTGAAAAGCAACAATAGAGAAAACACACGTCAAAGAAAAACAATCACACGCACAAGACAATATTTATGTGGTTCGACAATTTGCCTACGTCCATGAAGCTGCAGGGGTTTCACTATTCTCAAAAACGATTACAAAGAGAGCGGCGGCCGTACATAATCAATCCACCCTAATCACAAAAAAAAAAAAACAGGTTTTATATGGTTTGCACCGGGCTACAAACAAATAGGCCCCCAAATATTTACTATCGGCTCAAGCCTTCGCTCCATGAACTAAGTCTCATAAAATTTTTCATTAAAAAATTACGCAACATTATTTCGGGTTGGGTCATCATCCGGGTCAACTATAAACTAGACTCCACAAAAGCCCAACAATCTCCCACTTGGAGACTAGTTCAATCACCAACATCAATTGCAACCCTCCCAAGAATAGTCCCTCATCCCTGCAACTAATCTTCATGTACTCAAGCTAGAAGGCCAACTGAAGCTGCACACAGCTTCAGCTTCTTAATAGTGACACCCTTAGTCAACATGTCTGTCGGGTTCTTAGTTCCACAGATCTTCTCAAGTATCAACTGACCATCATCAAGCAAGGACCATATGAAATGATACCTGATCTGAATGTGTTTTGCCCTGGAATTAAATGCCAAATTCTTGGCAAGAATTATGGCACTCTGACTATCACTGTAAAGAATACCCTTCTATTTCTTTTTACCCAGTTCCTCCAAAAAAATCTGTAACCAAATCATCTCCTTTGAAGCCTCTAACACTGCAACATACTCGGCCTCTGTAGTAGAAAGGGATACTTTTTTCTGCAGGTTAGAACCCCAAGACACGACAGTACCACCCAAGGTGTAAACAAAACCGGTGATGCTCTTCCTACTATCAATGTCTCTGGCCAAGTCGGCATCAACAAAACCCTATAACTCCAAACTATCTCTGGTGTAACACAAGCATGCTTCTAAGGAACCTTTCAAGTACCTCAAAATCCGCTTCACAGCTTCCCAATATTGTCTTCCTGGGTTGCTCAAGTATCTACTCACAACTCCCATTGCATGGGTAATGTCTGGTCTTGTGCAAACCATAGCATACATAAGTGAACCAATAGTTGAAGCAAAAGGAACCTTACTCATGTGCTCATGTTCCTCCTCTATCTTGGGTGACTGATCTTTACTGAGTCTGAAATGACTACCCAACGGTATGCCAACTGGTTTGGCTTGATCCATGTTGAATCTACTGAGTACCTTTTTCACATACTCGGCTTGCGACAATTTTAACGTGCCCTTGACTCTGTCTCTGATGATTCTCATAACAAAGATTTGTTTTGCAGCTCCCAAATCCTTCATTGCAAACTATTTTGACAACTGTTTCTTCATATTGTTAATCTCCTCAATGCTAGACCCTGCAATGAGCATATCATCCACATATAACAGTAAAATGATGTAAGAATTGCCAAAGAACTTAACATAACAACAATGATCAGCTTCACATCTCTTGACCCCAATTCTATGTATAAAACTGTCAAATTTCTTGTTCCACTGTCTTGGAACTTGTTTTAGGCCATACAAGCTATTTCTCGGTTTGCAGACTAGATTCTCTTGTCCTTAAACAATGAACCCTTATGGCTGAATCATGTAAATATCTTCCTCCAAGTTACTATGAAGGAATGTCGTCTTCACATCTAACTGCTCAAGGTGTAGGTTTTCTGTAGCCACCATTCCCAATACCAGTCTAATTATCATCATCTTCACAACTAGAGAAAATATTTATGCGAAGTCAATGCCCTTCTTTTGCTGGAACCCTTTGACAACTAATCTGGCTTTATACCCCTTGCTACCATCATGCTCATTCTTAATTATGTATACCCATTTGTTGTGCAAAGCCTTTTTCCCCACTAGCAATTCAATCAGTTCCCATGTCTGATTCCCCAACAAGGACTCCATCTCATCATTCATGGCTAACTCCCATTTGCTTGAATTTTCATCCTGCAAGGCTTCATCAAAACGCTTTGGCTCACCACCATCAGTCAACAGGAGGTAATTTAAAGTGGGTGAATAACGCTATGGAGGTCTAATGATCCTGGAAGATCTACAGACATCAGCTACATGCATACTCTGATCTACCTGTGATTCTATATTATCCTTATCTTCTTCACCCCTTTTCAGGACAGTACTTTCAGTCAATTCATCTAAGTTGACAAACTCAGATTTCTTCTGATCTATCTCTGTGACATCTGACACTACAGTTGACCTGCCCTTGTACATAACCTATTCATTAAATATCACATTTCTATTTTTGATGATTTTCCTGTTCTGTTCATCCCAAAAACGATAGCCAAATTTCTCAACACCATAACCAATGAAAAAACATAATCTAGACTTTGCATCAAATTTAGTACGAGCATCAAAATCAATATGAACATATCAAACACAACCAAAAACTTTTAAATGGGAAAACTTTACTTCTTTACCACTCCATACCTCTGCAGGAAGTCTGAACTCCATGGGAACTGAAGGTCCTCGATTTATCAGGTAAGCTACAGTACTAACAGCATCAACCCAAAAAGTCTTTGGTAGTCCAGCATATAACCTCATACTCTTAGCACGCTCATTGAGAGTTCTATTCATGCGCTCAGCCACACCATTTTGTTGTGGTATCCCAGGAATGGTTTTCTCTATCTTAATTCCATGTGCAGCACAATACTCACTGAACCCTCCATCTATGTACTCTCCTCCACTGTCTGACCTCAAACATTTTACTTTTAAACATGTTTATGTTTCAACCATAGCCTTCCTCTTCTTAAAAGTATAAAATACATAAGATTTATTTTTCAAAAAATAAACCCACACCTTTTTTCTTGAGTCATCAATGAAAGTGATGTAATACCTTGAACCCCCAAGGGATGCAACCGAAGAAGGCCCCCACAAATCTGTGTGTACTAACTCCAATTTTTTAGCCTTTGGTGTTCTACCAGTTTTCAAGAAGCTTACCTTTTTCTGCTTTCCTAAGATGCAGCTTTCACACATATCAAATCAACAGACTTTAATTCTGGTAGTTTCCCCTTTGACAACAGCATCTTCATCCCTTTCTCATTCATGTGACCAAGTCTGCAGTGCCATAAGCTTGTATCAGTACTTGTTTCAGCGACTGCAATTGTATTTCTTGGACTTGAGGTCATATATAGAGTACCACTCTTCTTTCCACGAGCCAATACTCTGGCTCCTTTTGTGATCTTCCAAGTACCATCAACAAACAGTATAGCATGCCCTTCATCATCAAGTTGTCCAATAAAAATCAGATTCCTCCTCAGGTCAGGAATATGTCGAACCTTCTCCAGTAACCAAACAGACCCATTGGACAATAATATTCGGATGTTTCCCATACCCATAATATCCAAGGTTGTACCATCAGCCAAATACACCTTACCAAAATCACCTGCAACATAGTTCTGCATGATTTTTTGGGGTGGAGTAGTATGAAACGAAGCTCCTAAGTCCAAAACCCAATCATCAAGTGAACTGTCTACTGCAAGAAGTAATGCATCATGTACCTCTTCCGTTATAGCATTAGTAGAATCATCTTCATTCTTCTTCTTAAGACTTTTGCATTGCCTCTTAAAGTGACCTATTTTTTCACAATTCCAGCATTTTACTTGTTGGTCTAATCTAGATTTACTTCTTTTCCGATTAGAATTTTTGGATTTTGATCTTCCCCGATTTGAATTTTTGTCATTACCCTTGCCTCTTGTTTCAAGGTTTAGTGTAGAACCAGATCCTGAGGTTTCACCTACATCTTTTTTGCAAATCTCCTTGGCCAGAATTAAATCTCGTATCTCATTGTACTTCAGTTTTTCCTTTCCTGTAGAATTGTTTACTGCCATCCTCATTGCCTCCCAACTGTTTGGCAGGGAAGCTAAAACAATCAGTGCATGAATCTCATCATCAAAATCAATTTCTACAGATGACAATTGATTTGTGATAGTGTTAAACTCGTTCAGATGTTGTGCTACTGATGCGTTATCTGTCATCTTCAAATTGAACAGTTTCTTCATCAGATGC